TTATTTTGCATTACTTTCTATGGGAAAGTGTGCCTTGGTTTTGGAATGCTTTGGCTTTGGAACAGACTTCCAGAATGGATTAAGTTTGAGAACCAAGGTACCACTGTATTTATACACAGCAAATGTCTCCACTGTTCTGCTGTTTTTAGCAACTTATGACCCCCTTGAGTCACCTGCAGGCCACCACAGAGTAGGGGCTGCAACATGGATGTAGCCAGAATTTTTATTAGGGGGCTGTTGCCAGAGTTTTTGAGCTTTTTTTAGGGGATCTGCCAGAGGAGTTCAACTTTTTAAATGGGATCCGTCAAAGCCGATCAGCCTTTTTAAAGGAGATCTCTCCCTAAAGTTGGTCAGCTTTTTGGGGGGGAATTACCCCCCCAAACAGGACATTACAAGGGGAAGGCTTTGGTTGGGGGTGGGCTGAACATCAGTTAACTGGGTACTGTTCTTTCAAGGCTTTTCGATAATTTTTGTGGATCTAGGGGGGGCTACGGCCATGGATTGCAAAAGAGGACGAGGCTCACTCCTGTGCTTTTAATAGATATGAGGAAAATGGAATTCCAGTGTCTGTAGTGACAAGTGCAGGTGAGCTGTTTGATTAAGCTGGCTGGCTGGCTGGACGAATGAACTACTCTTTTGGATGCAGGATGATGTAGGCTAGATTTGTGGATTTGTTCCAGAACAGTGGCCTATGCAATCCTAGCTCCACTTACCTTGGAGTAAACCCCACTCAGTTCAGTTGAGCTTACTTCTGAGCAGACGTGGTTGGATTGCATGGCTACATATTTATTGTGGTTCTGAAGAAACTAAATCATAATTGAATGTCTTGACTGCCCTCTGGCGGTCCTGATGAAACAACACTCAGACTCAAGTTGGCAAGGAATGTAGTAGCAAAAACAACAGTCTTGTGGCTTACAGATTTAGGCATTGGAAAGCTTATGCTATAACAGTCCACTTACAGTAGGGCTGTAGTCTTTATCCAGTTCCCTGCAAGTAAGCCCCAAAGAGTACAACTGGACTGATTTCTGAGATCGCAGTGCAGGTCTGATTCAAAATATTAGGAACGAGGAGACCTAGCGCAGCTCTCTTCCCAGACCATTGCTTCCTTTCCCTTATGCAATCTAGAGCAACTGACTTTATTTCCCATCTTTAGAAAATATCCTACCTGTTTCTGCAGTGCTAGAGTGTTTGCAACTAGCAGGCATTCTGTTTAGATGAGTTGTTGCTTTCGATTGTTATTATTTCATGTAGTTTTAAAAATACGGAGGATTGATTTTTCATGACTGGGAATCATGCAGTACCTCTGACTTCTTTGTGGTTGAGTCTCCTGCAGCCACTAACCTGCTGTTTCCATCCCTCTATGGCCACCATGAAATCTTGAAGCAAAGAGGTGGTAAAGCAGGGCTTCATCCTGTGCATGAAGAATACAGGCAATTGCCTTGTCCTATTCTTACTGACTCCATGCAGCAAGCTGTTAAGGAGTTCTCACATGGATTCCAGTTACCAGGTTACATTATTTAAGGTGGGATGGGAAGTTGTACTTCTTTTCAGGTATCCTTAAAAATTCCCTCATCCGCCCCTAGGTATAACTGACCCTCTGATCTAATTTGAAATGAATCCAGTTCAAGTTTGCCTTTTTAAAAAGCGAACTAGTTTAGTTCAAGTTGACCCGAATGAACCTTTTCATAAGAAGTCTGTCCTCCGTCATCTTCCCCATCATTCAGAATGATACAAGCTGATGTTTAGGGCCCAAAATTAAATCAGAGGCCACAGACTTATAATTAGATGCCTGGCATACAGAATGTCAACTGGTGAAGCCTTCTCATCATTGTATTTCCATACACGAAAAGGCTTGCCCTGTTTAATTTGTGCCAGCCGTACAGCTGATAAAAAGGCACAAGGCATTTTTTTTCTTCGTTCAATGGAATGAATTCATTCCCAAGCCGGGCCTAAAACAAACTTGAGTACAAAAGCACCCACTAAAATATCAGTAGCTTATATATTGTTTGCATTTTCATCAAAACAGAAAATTGCAGCAGAGGCTGATCGTAATGTAATCAGGTTGAATTTCATACATAGGGGAAGCTTATGGGATTTGTCAGGAGTGAATTTCTCCACTCAGGTGAGAAGAGTACCAGGACTCTGGCTCCCCCGTACGCCTCTTGTCGTCGACATTTTAAAGCAGCCTCCAGAGCATCTTTCACCAGGAAAGAAAATACTTTGTCAAGCAGGGAGGAATATTAAAAATATGCTAAGAAGATTAATGCAAGGTTGTTAATACACCTCCCCAGTTCGCTATCATTAATCCTGTCAGTTTGAAGAATTTTATTTTATGTCTTCAGTCAGGTTTTCTTCATAGAGAGCAACAGTCTAGTTTAACTGCCAAGGTACCTCAGAGCACAACTAGAGGGCTGTTCAGACAGCAGCACCCCCCCCCCAGTTCAGAGTTTATTATTATTATTTATTCAATACATATATACCACCCTTTATCAAAAGATCCCAGGGCTGTGTACAACATTATAGAGCATCAGTAATAAAAAGGTTATTTCATGGTGGGTGGGCTCCTCCTCTGGGCCTCAGCAACTTACAGGACTCTCCTCAAACAGGGTGGTGGTGTTTTAACCCACAGAGGGGGAACCTATAGCCCTGCATGCATTGCTAGACTACAACTCCCATCATCCCTGACACTTATCCCTGCTTGGGTTGGGCTGATGGAGTCTAACAACACTTGGACGGCTGCTGTTACCCCATCTTTGGCTTAATCCCTTAGTGCCCAACTTCAAAGTTAGGTTGGATTGAATTGAACTGAACATATATTGTTCCCTTGTGACCTTCACTACTACCTTCTTCTTGCCCCTTTCTGTCTTATGCGTTTTTGATTATAGTCTTCTTGGGGCATTGATGGCCCAATAAAATGAATGAATCACAGCTAGCCTCACTCAGTTCAGTGGAAATGACTGCCTAGTTTGATGTGCAGAGGTGCGCTGCTGTAAATTGTCAAGACTTCCCAGATGTTTCTTCTCAGTAAAGAGGCTTGGTATTTCTTAACTGTTTTTTTGCACTAGGGGGCTCCCAGGAGTTAGAAAGAAACAGACAGAAGGCTGTTCTTTTTGGAAACAAGACATCACACTGGGGTTTTCCAATGCAGAATTTAAAATAGCTTAAAAAATAATGACGAAAAGTTCATGTAAGTGTGTAGCAGTTATCTGGAAACAACCGCCCTGTACAGTCAGAGCATTCTGAAGGTCTGTAGAGTTTGCAGTGAAATCTCCAAAACATGAGCTGTAGAGTCATGTATGACTTGTGTATTCCAGGACTTTGAACACAGAAATACAGGTTTGGATAACTTGAAAGCTTGCTCCCTATTTTGTGACAGCTTGGATGGTCCTAAGAGAGATACTGGCCAACTGTGGATTTTGGATTTTTTATTCTTTTTTGCATGGACCAGCACAGTTTCTTTTGTGTTTTTAAAGGAAGTTTTACTAGACAAAGACTGAGACAAGCTGTGTAGGTAAGATGCTTTTTCAAAATAATGAACTTATTATAATTGAACATAAGTGATTTCTTGTTCCACTGCAGGGTGTGTGTGTGCTTGTGTAATAAAGTTCACAGACTTGTACACATTTGTTTATTATCAATATAACTGTTGCTCTTGGACTTGTGTGTGTGTGTATAGACAAACATAAAGGCTTGCGAGCACTCACACCATTCTGCTGCAACAAGGAACAGCTTACAATTGTTATTTTCAGTAGCATAGTTTTGTGAATACATCCAGACCATTTTTTGAGACACCGCTTATGTATGCAATTAATAGCAATGTACCTTTAACGCAGGGCCAGGAAGCATTTTAATAGTTGGCGGGTATGTTTAGCTCAAGTTAGGCCTAAGAGAATTATAAAATAATGTAAGCATGCCTGATTTGGGTAGGGTAGGGTAGCTAATGCAATATCTGAGCATAATTATAGGAGGCAAAAATGGTTTTATAAAACATCTTCCCTATCATTAGCATGGGAAGAGGAAACTCTGATTTCACTGAATCACGGAAAGATGTCTCCTTTTCACAGTTGTTATTACATGTTCAGTTATTGTAGATAATAAATTCATTTTGTGCTGTGTTTGGAAGGGTATTTTCATGGGTTTCTATTAATTTGATATACATAATATGGGGCATTTTAATATCTTTTTTCCTTTCTGTGTGCATATAATATATACCCATATATATATATTCCTTAGCTGTAGCTTTAAAATATAAAGATTTACATGGGTTTAAAAATAACTCCACGAATGATGATGACTATAAAATGGTATTTATAATTCTCTCCTTTATAGCCGTGGGCCAGCCCAGAAGGGACTCCCAGACTTTTCCTACTGTGACTCAGTTAACTGTGTTTACACAGCCGACTCCATTCATTCTCTGAAACAAACTCACACCCTCTGTGGTGGCAGATAAGATTTTAACAGCTTGTTGGGGCAGCCTGTCAGATTAATTACAACTGAACATTCACATTCCTTGGGCATTTCCAGTTTGTGTGTGTGTTTGTGTGTGTACACCACACACACACACACACACACACACGAAGAGCTGGAAAAAGAGGAGGAGAAATCCGATAATTTAGAAGGCATGCATCATCACCATCATCATCCTAGCAGGCAACCAGTGAATTCCTAAGCTACATTCATCATGTTGATTCATTGGAGAAATGAGCTTCCTGGATCAGACATGCCAAATTTTAAACTGGTTCATTTGCTCTCTGTGCGCACCCCAGTTGCTGAGACTCTGGAGTGGCAGGTGCCCAAGGACCAGAAGGAATTTGTTGTTGGGCACAGCCTTTGTGATATATCTGGGGTTCCTTGTCAGCCAAGTAGGTCACATTGTCCCACAGCACAGAGTGAGACCCCTGAAAGCAAATTCCCAGAATCTCCAAGATGCTGCCCAGACTCTTTCCCTCGAAATCCCATTGGATGACACCTTGTTGCTTTCTGATCTGGAAAGACCCCAGATGGGAACAAATGATACTTCAGCACTGCCCAATGTGGTGTATATCACCCTGCGGTCCAAGCGCAGCAAACCTGCCAACATCCGAGGCACCGTGAAGCCCAAGCGAAGGAAGAAACAAACAGTACCTTTGCACCATGAAAATAAGGACCCATTGGTTGTCGCTGGTCAGGAGAAGAGCTTAATCCAAAAGCCACTTCACGGGACTAATAATTCTATGAATAAGAGGAGAACAGGAGCAGTCCCAGAGAAAGCAAGGGACCACCAGGAGAAATTCAAAGAGAAAGAAACACCCAAGAAAGACAAGAGACATTGGAGACCTCTGGTAAGAGGAGCAAATGTTCAGCCCAGTGCTCTGGAGAGCAATATCAGGATGTACAGCGAAAGCCCACCATCTTGGCTGAGCAAAGATGATATCTTAAGTATGCGTCTTCTGGCGGATTCCAAAATAGAGGATATACAAGAGGCACCTTCTCAGTATGGAGTACTTCTGGTACTTGAGGGGGTTGCTACAGTTAACAGGTCAGCCAAAGGAGGTGTTTGCAGCCAAGGGCACTGTGGCCTCATGAAGAGACCTCTTGACATGAGTGAAGTGTTTGCCTTCCATTTGGACAGGATCTTGGGGCTGAACCGGACCTTGCCTACAGTAAGCAGGAAATCAGAATTTGTACAAGGTAATTGGTTTACATAATGGATAGGAACCCAGGGCATTCCTACCCCCACCCCCGGCCCATCTATTGGGCATGTGTGTTCAATAACTAGAAATAAATGCAGTACAAATACCCTGAAGAGTAGTGTCAAAAGATAAACAGAAAATCCTTCAGATAAGCGAAAAAATGATTTCAGGTTTCCAGATAAACTTTCACTCTTTGGAATGTATAAATATTCCAGGTATCAGCATGTATATAAAATGTGGGAGGGGGGAGACTCCAATTTTGCTTGTATGGTAATTAATGTAAAGCACAGGGGGTGAGTATTTTTATTTAGATTCATTATCCATAGTTAATATAAAAGTTGCAGAAAGTGATGAGAAGGGAAAATTGATAGTGTGGCAGAGCTTTGAAATTGTCATCAGATATAGCAAACCACATCAGGGTTTTGGACAGGAGGCCTTGATTGGATTTTGGTTTTTTATACTAGAAAACTTTATGAGCCAAAGATAGTGTCACTGATGGAGCTGTGCAATATCTGTTAACTTCTGTGGGCAAACTTGTGGATTTAATGGAAGATGTGAAACAGCAGTGCCTGGTGGTTTGTGCCCAGAGTTTAATTTAAGAAACATCAGGCAGTTCTTCAGACTGATTAAGGTGAACTGTGGGGCCCTCAATATGATAAAAGCTAGATTTCTTCCAACACCACTGGTTATCACAGATGCATAGCACCAACATTTTCTGTCACAGGCAGACTAGAGGACAATCAGTCATTATCTAGTCTCGATTCCTACTATCCATGAGAAAAGAAAAAAAAAAAGGGGGGGGGAGAGTAGCAAAGTCCCCAAAATTCAAACAATGTAAAAATATAACGATGACTTTGCTTTTAACTCTTTTTTTATTTCTCAGTGTGCCAAGGGAAGATGCTGAATATTTTAGGCATTGAACTTCAAGACTGCTTATATTAGGCAAATCTGGAAATGAAATGAAAATAAGACCAAAATAAAACCACCTCGGTATATGTGTTTCATAGGCCACAGTTGTGCTAAACTATGGCTTGGGCAGAAGTTTCAGTCAGAATAATGTAATATAGCACAGTACGGTAGTGATAGCTGGAAAAGGTAGCACTGCATTTTAATGAATCAGTGCTAAAACAGGCTTGCTATTTATGTTCTAATTTTGACCTAGAGCAATCGTTACTTTATTTTATACAAAGTCTGTTACCAGCATTAAAAGACGAGTAAAGGAAAAATAAAATAAAAATTCACTGGCAGCAGGCTGCAGAAAGCAGATAAAATAACGGTCTCTGGTTTATCTACATTTTGTAAGCTTTCCCAGTGGCAGACCCTACGAGAGTGTCAATAGATTTCTTGGAGCAGCGATGTGCTTTCTTTGCTTGCTTCCAAGAGATATTCAGGTTAGCAGAGCATAGAAGGCACATTATGCATATGTTATTTTTAGTGAGAGCTTTTACTGCTGCAGAGCTTTCAGAAGGAATGAGGTAATCCATTTTAGGGATCCTGGACAGTGTGATCACACAGATGATTGACTGCAGGCCCCTTGTGGACAGCTCTTAGCCTAACGTTAGGAAGCGTTGCTTTCACTCTGCATTATTGTTCTAGATTGTCAGACTGAATTTCTCTTTCTTTTTCCCTTTCTCATTCTCGTGTTCTGTCCTTGGTGATGTTCCAGACATGAAGAGCTGTTGTTATGCAATGAGTAGGAGGAAGTGAATAGCCAGTTTTCATTTTGGTTATTTCTCGACAGGCAGTTTCTTAGCTACAGATGAGATCAGAATGCGGAACAGCCACTTTCCCAAGAAATGTTCTGGATTTGAAGCATCCCCTTTTAACCATCAATAGTTACTGTGGACTTTATCCACGCAACACAAGTCCCACTCAAATGAATGGGAGTTCTTCCAATGATCTCTAATGGGCCTTGTGTTGGAGAATCTTTTGTGGTGAAGTGGAAATAGACTATTGTTATTTTGGAGTCAGAGGCAAACCTGGGCCACAATCCTGTACTCACTTAGCCTGGCGCTAAGCCTCACTGAACTCAATGGGATTTCTTTCTGAGTATGCGTAGGATTGAGCTGTCAATTAACTTTATTCACCAAGCTCTCTTGGACCCCCACATCTCTGTGATAGAAACCCCCCCACAAATGAGTACATATAAATCAAGAAAATCAAACACATGAGATAATCAATAAATTCTCATTTGGACTCTTCAGTTCTCTCTTATTCAGCAAATGTATTTCCAGGTGAGGTTACAGAAACATTTGTATCCAGTGACTTTCTCTGTCTGTTGAAATCCAGCTTGGGGGCTGACATCTCCACACGATGTCTCCTTTTCAGCCTGTCTCAGCACCGATGTGATATATAAAGACAAATTTGCTGCCATGTTAACATCTCACAAAATAAGCTCCTCAAAGCTGTCATTCATTTGGTGGAAGCCTTTTTTCAGAGATACACTTAGGAAGCTCATATAAAGCAACTTTCGCTTGCATCCCCCCTTGCTCCCCCCTTACCCCTCTCCTGCCTGAAGTCCTTTTCACATTTGACAGGCTAACAAAATGCACTCTGTTTGCAGTTGCCCAAATGAATTGTGAACCTTTCTAAATCAAGAGAATTAATTCACATTGTTCTGTGACACGTCTGCATTATTAGAAGGGAAAGCTGACTCCTGACAACTTTCCCCCCTAAGATTCATTACTGTTGACAGATCAAAATTTATAAAGGCATGGGGGCTGCAAGAGAGGGAAGCCTCCCATAGTTCTGACTTGCAAAGCAAACAAACCATAATTCGTAATGTCAGTTGCAAACTTGCTGCTTTTGTCCCTGAGCTCACATGTGATGTTGGCTGAATGAAGGCCCTTCATCCCAAGGGGGGTGGGGCAGTGGAGGAGGATGAACAAATAGGTATGTATTAAGGGAGACAAACTTGCAGCAAGTGCATAGATCCAATTCCTCAGCCATCTGTGTTTGCTGAGCCTGGATTGTGAGCAGTGGCAAAGATAAGAATAAATGTTTCTAATATATGTATACTTTGGGTGGAATAGGTCCAGGAGTCAAAGATCTGTTTGGGGCTTTATTTGGTTGGTTGGCTGGTCGCCTCCAAACCTCTACATTTTAAAAGAAGAGAGTGCATGGGGGAAATTGTTTTCGTTGTTATAAAAATGTCCAAACCTTAGAGGAACAGAACTAGTCACATGGTTCTCTGGATCTCAGCCTGAGGAAATATGAAAGCAGGAGTTTTTATATATTATTTATTTTCTTTTATCTTGCTGCTTCCTCACAGCAACCTGTGGGTGCTGGATTAGGTTGAGAGACAGGGGCTAACCTGAGGTTACCTAAGGAGTGTCAAACTGAGTAGAAATCTGAACTTGCTTCTCCCCAGGTCTATTCCAGCACCCAGGTTTGATGCTTTTACTTAGCAGAGTCACTCATTCTTAAGGAAGGAAAAGATTCCACTCTAAAGGAGGGCTTTCTATTAATGGTGAAATGAATAATCAGGGAAATTATGGATGTGTGGGGAGAACTATGGGGTGTGTGTAAATGTGAGGGAAGCCATCCTGAGGGCCACTTGGGCGGAAAACTGGAATTAATATGGGGGAATTAAAAGCAAATAATAAAATAAGCTGTACGACAGGAATGTCAAGGCACAATCAGATTCCTGACATGCAGAGTATTTTATTATTTATAGCTCTATGTTTGCAACATGGACTTGATTTGGCAAAGGTCTCTTTATCCACAAACAGAGCAAGTCTCTGAAATAGTGAAGAAGCAGGTTTCTTTGGCGGTGTTGAAGCACAAATGTTAGAAAAAAACAGCTGGTGGCAAGAGTTGGGAATAGCTAATAGCTTGGATCCAAAGGAATTACAAGCAAGTTCCTCTTTCTCTGCAGTACCCCATGGCCCTATTCCCGAATTCCATTCCTTAATAATTGGGAACTTTGGGGGGACAGTATGGGATGTAGCACTTCGTGGGGTAGGGGGAGTGGCAGAAATTGAGTGCCACCATTAATGAGTAGAAGAGCCATCCACTTGCTCAACAGCAGGTTTTGCTCCAAGCTGTGATTACTTTCAGATTGGAAGGTATTAACTATGGCAGTCTTCATTGCCACACTAGATCCTTTTGCCTTGTGATCCTCTCTAGTCAAATGCGCTGTGCAGGGTTTTGAACCTGTGAAGAGAGTTGGCTGTACATTACCCTTGACAAATGTACTATCTTAAGTATCTACTAGTTTAGCTGTACTCATGGACAGTTATCCACCCGTTAATGTTCAATGACTGTCCAGTCTGTATACATAGCAACTGAGCTCTGCAAATCACCACGTGTACCTTCTGTCACGCAAACACTTGTATGTGTGTAGAATCAGCTTTCCATCTGTGTTCAGCGTAACATGTGAACAAGCCCTGTTGGACGAGAGCTAACAAAACATCTTAAGCTCTCTTAGAAACATTGCCTCTGTTCAGTCCTCTGCAGACAAGTGAGAAGCAGAACTTTAACCCTTGTTGTTCCTGGCAAAAGTACCGCAGCAATGCTGGCTAAGGAACGAGCTCATATTCAGAGTTGCCTTCATCTGAAATATACTTAGTATGAAAGAGCATCTGACTGACTTTTAGCCTCATTGTGTTTGCTCACTCCGTAATTGGTCTTGTACCAACAGAGGCTGGGAACTTGGCCCAGACAGAAGGGGAAGCTCCATTGATTCCATTTACCATGTTACTCTAGCGATCGCCACATGCTGATAAGCATAGTCAGAGTGCCGCCTTTAAAAAAAGAAGCAGCAGCCGGCAAGCAACGTGTTTATGATGCTGCCCCCCCGCGCTTAAAATTGGACGTCATCATTATGATTAATGTTTGGGCAAAGGACAAGGAGAAAACCTGTCCTTGCTGAAGCATTCAGTTTTATTGCATGCCCTGGATCAGATTTAACTGCATTTGTTCACAGCTTGCTTTCATATACTGATATTTAACATACGGTAATTGTTTGTTTAGTCGTTTACTCGTGTCCGACTCTTTGTGACCCCATGGACCAGAGCACGCCAGGCACTTCTATCTTCCACTGCCTCCCGCAGTTTAGTCAAACTCATGCTGGTAGCTTCGAGAACATTATCAAACCATCTCATCCTCTGTCGTCCCCTTCTCCTTGTGCCCTCCATCTTTCCCAACATCAGGGTCTTTTCCAGGGAGTCTTCTCTTCTCATGAGGTGGCCAAAATATTGGAGCCTCAGCTTCACGATCTGTCCTTCCAGTGAGCACTCAGGGCTGATTTCCTTCAGAATGGATAGGTTTGATCTTCTTGCAGTCCATGGGACTCTCAAGAGTCTCCTCCAGCACCATAATTCAAAAGCATCAATTCTTGGGCGATCAGCCTTCTTTATGGTCCAGCTCTCACTTCCATACAGTAATTACATACAGTAATTACCAGGGGCCAAAGGAAGATTGAGGTGTGTGTGTGTGTTTAAGTGCTGTAATACTGTGTGTGCTATTCTCTATTCTGGTCACTTTACCTCAAAAAGGATGTTGTAGAACTGGAAAAGGTTCAAAAGAGAGGAACCAAAGTGATCAAGTGACTGGAACCACTCTCTGGAGTCACAAGTGGAGAGAATGCTATTGCACTCAGCCCTGCTTGCAAGCTTCCCTTAGGCATCTGGTTTGCCACTGGTTGACTAGGATACAGAATTATATGGGCTTTTGACCTGATCCAGCAAGGCTCTTCTTATATTCTTATATTTGTGTACCCCACAGGACAAACTATAGGTCATATCGGTGATTATTTTCCCCCTCCTGCATGTCTTGGGCTGGCCCTGCTAGCCTTGTATTGTGACAAGGGATGGGTGAATCTGTCAATTTCAGTATTTCTCAGTTTCTCATTTTCCCACTCCATATTTCTACATCAGTTTGTGATTTATTTATTTTTTTAAAAACTAAGTCTGCATGAAAATTCATCAGTAGTTTGATGCGATTTTCTCCCAATATACAGTACACATCTTTGTGTGCAATTTTGCCTAATCTACAAAAGTTTACAAAACAATTTCATCTTATATAGTGCATATTTGAATGCCGTTTTTCATGAATACATTTTGTATGAGTACTTAACCCTGGCATTTGCATTTTGTACATATTTCTTGGCACGATAATTGCATTGCAAAATTCAGAGACAGTATGTGTGGATTTCCAAAGATGGCTGTTTCAGTTTGCATATTGATTTGAAAGTGTGGATGACGTAGGTTCATCTATAAATGCAAATGGAATTGAATCTCTCTCCCATCCCAAATGGTGAGTGCCAGGATTTTGATAAACCTTCACAATACATGAATTGTGAATGAGCTGTGCTTAGTTTGGCGGGTCTTAATATTGTGCAGGTCTGGGTTACAATATTACTCCTCCTTAAGTTGGAAAACCTGCTTCGTACGACAGATTTCCCATGCCCTTTGTTTGTTAGTCTGAACTTCATAGAATTTCCCTTTCCAGCTCCAGAATATGTAGCCAACATCCTGTGATTCACATTTGCCATGCAAGTGGTATTATACTCTGCAGTAACTAGAGAAGTCAATATGGCACCCTTGATTCATGCCCCCATCTTTACTTGCATAGACTTGCAGGTCTAGGATTGATATCCTGGGAGATGGTTGTTTGTATCAGTGACTGGTTTTTTTTTTAAAATAAATTTTTATTAATTTTCCAATACATTTATACATTTTTAACCAACTTGTAACAAAACATCTCTTTTGGACTTCCTTCAGCTTCCCTGGCAATCATCCATGTTTATCTCTTAATTACGCATTCCCTTTACACATATTGCCGTTTGTCTTCCCTCTCCCTTCTATTTCTTTTTTGACAATATCTCTCAGTTTTTACAGCGCCTCTCGAAACCCCACTAGCGTTGTTTGTATATCGCATACATTTTTCAGATACTCTACAAACTTTCCCCAGTCTTCGATGAACCTTTGGTCTCGGGCATATCTGATTTTCCCAGTTAATTTGTCCAGTTCCGCATAGTCTGTCAATTTCAATCTCCATTCTTCTATTGTCGGTAATTCCTCTTGTTTCCATTTTTGAGCCAATAAAATCCTTGCCGCTGTAACTGCATACTGAAAGAGTTTACAGTCTTTTCTTCTTATTTCTTTCCCTGTAATTCCTAAAAGAAAGGCTTCTGGTTTCTTCACAAAAGTAAATTTTAACATCTTTTTCAGTTCATTATAAATCGCATCCCAGAAACCTTTCACCTTCTTACATTCCCACCACATATGGTAAAATGCTCCTTCTTTTTCTTTACATTTCCAACACTTATTACATGTCTTATACATTTTTGCTAATTTTACCGGTGTGATATACCATCTGTAAAACATTTTCATAACATTTTCCTTCAACGCAGTGCATGCAGTAAATTTCAGATTTTCTTTCCACAATTTTTCCCAATCGTCAAATTGTACATTATAACCGAAATCTTTGGCCCATTGTATCATTACCGATTTAACCTCTTCATCTTTCATGTTCCATTCCAACAGTATTTTATACATTTTTGACAGAATTTTACATTCATTATTTATTATATCTACTTGAAACTTTGAATCTTTTTCTCCATATCCACATTCTTTTATGTCTTTTTTAAACATTTCATTAACCTGTAAATAATGCAACCAATCATATACATGTTCTTTAATTTGTTCATATGGCTTTAACTTCCATTTTCCCTCTTCTTTAATCACCATTTCACCATATGTAATCCAATTGCCTCTCATATTAATTTTCTTTACACTCATAACTTCTAACGGAGATAACCACTGTGGAACTTTTGGTTCCAGTAAATTTTTGTACCTATCCCATACCTCTATCAACGAATTCCTGAAGATGTGGTTCCCAAATTGGCAAAGGCTTTCACTTTATATTCATTCTGCCCCACTGTTACCCCTTTAATTGATTTATTTTGTCTAATCGCACTTAAAAAGACCTCTAGGACCGTTATAAATAATAATGACGAGAGCGGACAACCCTGTCTTGTTCCTTTTGATATTTTTATATCCTCTGTAATTACATTATTGACTAGCAGTTTAGCTCTCTGTTCTGTGTATATTGCCTTAATTCCATTGAAGAACTCTTTCCCCACATCCATACACTCTAAATTTTTCAGCATAAAATCCCATACTATATTATCAAAGGCGTATCAGTGACTGTTTTAATGTGTCCAGATGCAAGGGAAGGCAGGGGTCTACTATTACAGAAGAAATATTTTTTGAATGTATAGGTAGCTACAGAAAGGCTACAGTTTACGTCGTTCCCTGCCTGCGAACTTAACAGGGGATGTGAGGGATACTGTTATAGTTTTACAATGGAAATGTCTGTGGCAGCAACTCTGGGGTTTTGGCAAGGGCTTTTTGGTTCCTCTTGCCTTTTTACTTTGCTTAGGCCACTCCCAAAATCTTACTGATGCGTTGCCATCCTTTACAAGTGCATGCATGGACCTCTGAGAGCAACTTTAGTTCTGAATCCTTTGGAGGTTTTATTGTCTGTGGTTTAATGAGTCTTGTGTTTGAAGAACCAGGTGACTGAACCTGCAGAAGAGAACATGGCTTTAAGGGAAAAGCCTTTAAGGGAAAAGAGCCAGGCAAGAGTTCTCTAAGGTGATTTTTTCATGTTCTGACTATGTAGCAGAATGCAACAAAACTGCAATTCTTACATTAGGAAATCTGGAGGATACATTAGTGTAGGCGAGGCACTAAGTTGCTATGGAGATGGAAACCAAGTTAGGTAAAAATAGCTGGTATGTCAGCAATGCTGTGTTTATCACCAAGCTGGTGATTCTGCATTGCACTCTCTCCCTCTCCTTCTCCCTCTCTCTCCCTCCCCTCCTTATCTCCCCTCCTTCTCTCCATAGTTTTATTTCTTGCTCAACTACTTACAGGACAAGAGTTAGATCATCTGTTGTGCAGATGGCCCCAGCTTCAATCCCTGACATTGGGTAGGGATGAGAAATCCTACGTGTCACTGTGTGAGTCACTGCTAGTTGGTGTAGACAATACTGAGCTAGATGACTCAGCTTCTTCCTATGTTCCTATGACCTCTGTGTGATCCATATGCTGCATGGTTTTTCTAATGGAAATGGAGAGTCAAAAGGGTGGGATGATGGGAGGTTGGATAGAGGTTCCAGGTTCAGTGCAGAACAAGCATTCCCATGGCTCCTGTAATAGCTTTTCCTACCCAATCCTGGGGCATCTCAAAACAGCAGGCCACAGAGTTGCCATTGCCTTTTCATTCCCCACCTACAGTGTGGCTGGATGCTAATGGAGTCTGCTTGCTGGGAGGACCGGTATATGTGTGTGGAAGCTTAATGGCTTCTGCTTCTAGCTCAAGGTTTATATTATCTCAGCTGAGGCTAAATAAAATAGATGACATTCTTTGTGGTAAGAGACATGGCCTTTCAGTCACACTGGCTGGTAGATCTGCTATGTGAGCTGTTGGGTCATTTAGCTAAATATTTATATTTGCTGTTTCTGCTGAGGGGATTCCTTGTTCACTCAAGGGATCCTTTAATGTAGCTGTGACTTAGGGCCCCTTCAGACAGGCGTTTTATTTTGAGAGTCTTCTTCAACATGCTCTTGACACAATAATAGTGAAATAATGGCGGATTTATTCTGCTTTCATTTGCAATTCTTCCCCAATGCTGCCTCGTTATTGCTGCCCAAAGGAACTGTAGTGCAATGAAAGCAGGACAAAAATAAACGAATATTTTTGTTTATAAAAAGTTATGGGGTGCTTAGCAGGAAGTTGTAGGATATGCACTGATAGGAGATGAAACGGTGTGGCTACACCAAAACTTTTGCAGTATTGAAAGCAGCATCACATATGACTACCCTGGTAACATCATGAGCACAAAGAATCATGGATGTACAATAAAAAGACCTGGAGGAACTCTTAATCAGTAGGAAATGTATTGCAGTTTGGCTATAGATTTCCATTAGGATGGGCTGCAGAAGAAATTATTTTTCTGTTCATTTTATTCACATTATAATGTGACACTCAATGTCTTCCAGCTTTGCCCCTCCTGTATTTCTTTGGACAAGGTTTATTTGTTTCAGTTGAGTCTGTTTTGGCCGAACACATTGCAGATAGCACTGTTTGGGATGATTGATGTTTGCTAGGTCTGTTTCCTGTGAATCACACACATTTCCGCTGATTCACCTTAGCTGCATTTTGTTCTTTCCAAATGGCAAGTTTTCACATTTGTTCAAGACAAAACTTTTGTATCTCTGTCTCTCTCTCTCTTCTATCCGCCTTCCCCATCATGAGCCCATGGGAGGAAGCAAATAAAAAGAAAAACAGGAAGGGCTTCACGTGAGGAATGTGCTTTTGTAAAGCAAGGCTGGGTCAATGTACAGAGGAGAGGAATAAGGAAGACATGTACTTCTCTGATTTGCAGGGAGAAAAACACCCCATGACCTGTGACTATAGACATACTGGCTGGTTTGGCTAGAAAGTGGGGGAGGAAATAGGGATGTACTTTGATTACTAGACACAGCAATCCCTTCCTCACCACCCTGCTTTAATCTCCTAATTCCAAATGCCCATTCATATACCTGATGTGACCCAGATGGGGAAAAATGCTAGGGAGGGGAAACCTGTAGGTCATGACTGGGGAGAAGGGAAAGGTGTGATATAAATGTAATAATGAAAATAAACCAACAGAAATCTCTGCTGTGGCTGAACCACTTTGGAAAGCTGGTGTGAGCTAATATGAGAGAATTCTCTTCTACACATACAAATCCTCCCTGAAAACTGGAGAGAAAGCTTCCAGCCTAGCCTCCTCCCACACACCTAGGCTTGTTTGTGTAGGGAAATGTTTTTCACAGGGAGTATTCCCTGTTCTGATCATAGATAAAATGGAAGTTGGTGGGCAAGACTCATTTTAACCGTGAAATGGGAGAGAGGTTTGCTGATGCTTTCCTTCTCTCCCAGCTGACTACCCATAGTCCTTTGCTCCAAATGCTTTTCTTCCTTTCCATAGCAGAAGTAGGCAGGAAAGAGAGAGACAAATGCCTGGAGAAAGAGACTGAGAGAATGTAAGGTAAAGTGGGGTTGGGCAACAGGGAAGGAAGGCTCAGTGTCCCTCTCCTGCACATTTCTTTTATGTTTGTGATGCCACTTGCTCCTGTGTGGCTGGGCCCACCACCACCACACTTCCAGTTCACAATAGTAAGAAAATGCAAGAAAATGGTGTGGCAGGCATCCAGTTCCTACTGGGACCACAGTGGGGGCAACGGGTTTAATCCCCCCTCTCCCCACATCACAGCTCCAATCCAGCTTGAGGCTTCCCTAGCTGGCTTATTGCTTTAAGACAAAACTGTTATATTGGACCAGATTTATCCATTGTGCTCAGGGTTTCATCCTAATATGGGAAGTTGGAAAGGTCTAATCAAGTTAAATTTCTTTCAGGAAGGTCAGATTAGGCATGGTCAAGGCTGGTCAAATCTAGTTGGGTAAGGTACCAGTCAGCAAGAATCAGGACCCTGGACAGCTCCTAATGGGCCTTGCTAACTGAGCTATGAAAGATGTTGCTCCAACAGGGCACCATCTGAAGCCAGCTGTTTTCCTTAAAGGGCCTTTGCCTGATGTTGTATCCTTTGACTTTTGCATGGTGTGTGTCCTAGACTCTAGGAAATAGAGGAACTGTTCAAGACTGTTTCCTGAGTCCAAGGAAAGAGGAAAGGGGCCATATCCTTTGGTTGGGAGGGCATGGGAGAAGCTACTGCAGGTCCTGCCCTGGGAAAAGTGGCTTGAACCTCATCTGAACACTGTCAGGGATCATGTCACAAACTATGTCCAATCTGGCCCTTGGGTACCCCTTGAATTCTATGGGAGGGGGGAAGCAGACACCCACCACTTCATGTTTAGTCTGATCTTGAGAACTAGGCATAGTCACCTCTGCTTCCAAATGCAGAGCTAAGCAGATTTTAAAACTTACGCTTTCAAATGTGTGCTGTATAACGTATGCACCATGCACCAAGAATGCATGAAAGCACTCTATGCCATGTGCTAAGAGTTGTCCAGCTTTTATCTTGGATAGCCTGAACAATCTCATTGTAGGTTTACCTTTGGGAGTGATTCAGCCACATATATTTTATACATCCTGTCTCTCTTAAGATATTGTAGTTACAAAATCATACATCGCTAAAGAGGAAAAAAACCCCAAAGTGGTAAAGATGAGGCTATAAATCTATTTGTTATAAGATGGAATTCATGGCTTGCTCATGCATATATCATTTAATGATGACGCTCTCATAAACGAATATTGCTTTGTTGAAATTGAATGTGCTACAGAGATTTACATCAGCTGCTGATCTGTCAAACCACTTCTAATCTATTTAATATATATTCTCATAGAGATGGATTGTTTTAAGCGGTTTGTAGCATAAAGTCAGCAGTTATTCTCAGACAATGATGATAATTATAATGTCCAGGGTTCTTCCTTTCCTGTGGTGGCTTCCTTTACATGTGGAGTATGACCACATTAACCAAAGGAAGTCAAATCATTGCTGATTTCTTATTCATCCTACCACATCTTTAAAATACCTCTTTAAAAAACATGTGTGGAAAACTACTGTGATTTTAGGAAATGCCTACAGAATGATCAAGGGTTGAAAAATGCAAATCTTAAGTACATTAATGGTTTTGTTTGGTCTTTTTATTTTTTTCTCATTAGATGATCAACCATGTCCTATTATTCTTTGGGATAGCTCCTTGGCTCAGACTGATAATGAGACACACTCGTCATTGAAGCTAACATGGGGGGCTTACAAGCAACAATTAAAGCAAAAGTGTTGGCAAAATGGCAAAGTACCCAAAACAGAGTGGGGATGTACAGATATCCATCACTATGAGTGGTCCAAGATGGCACTACTTGATTTTCTTTTACAGGTAAGGCAAATGGACTTAATTGCCGGTATACAGGATTAATTATAGCAACACATTTTATTGAATAAACTATTTATATAAAAAATGCTGGTGGTAAGGGAGCCACATTTGGAACCTCTGCAGTGCAAAAGTGTTACAGAAATTAGACGTCAAAGCTAAGTATGATAGAGAATTCTTATCCAGAGGGCAAATGGTTGACATGTCCTAGCCCTTCCATTATAACTCACTCACTTTAGAAATAACTGAGGAAATTCTGGTCCATTTGTGTCAATTCTTTACTCTTAAGAACTGCAAAGTCTTTGTGTTCCTGACTAGGGCAGAAGTAGCAATGTTAGGTCACAGGCTTGGCAGTTCAAGCACATTATTATGAAACTGTCTAGAGCTTGAAATTCTCAGAGTTTTACCATGATCCACAGAAGATCTCCTTCCCTGCCCCCTGATCAAATAATGACCATGTAGGGGAGTCACCTTATTCATATCATTCATCTAAGTTCTTACAAGGTAAGATTCCTCACTTTGTAAGCCCGGAACAAGAGGCTGTTTATGGATGAACAGTTTAACACACAACTGTATGGGAAAATGAAAGCAACCACAAGAACAAGCTAAAGGGTGGAGTCATAGCTCCAACCCATATAATGGGAGGCAATATTTAATTCTATCATTACCTATTACTACAAGGAGAAACATGAAATAGGCCTGGTTAGTTATTCTTAAATAAATATACTATCCAGAGCATGTGATGCTGGCATCAGGGCACTATTAGAGTTCCATTTCTACACATGCAGCTTTCAGACATTCCATTGGTGCAAATCCAGGAGAAGGTTCTGGTTGTCTGTAACTTCTAGTTACATGTATAAATTCCCCATTGATTTCTAAAACAATTCAGCTTTCTGCACACTTGTAAATTGCAGAAATCATTGAGTTGCCGGTTTTCATAATGGCACGTAGGTAGTACATACAGAATTTAAGTATAATTCATATGCAAACACTATAGGTATGGCTATTACAGGACATTGATTTCTAAACTAAAAATAGATTGTCACGTCTAATGTCTCTCAGTATATCCCTGAGTATGTCATGCTTGGCACCCAATAGAAAGTCATGGTATTTATTGTACGGATACTAAACATAGCAACAGCCATACAGGAATAGCATAGAGACTGTAGCAGTCTCAATGTGTTCATGTGGAACCATTAATATTTCTCTCAGTAATGGAGTATATAGTAAATGGTCTTCTCTCTAGGGAACCGCATTTAAGCCACATTAGCTTTGAAATTTAGGGGCCTGTAGCGTAAACACTGCAGCTTAGCAGAAAGCATGGCACCATTATCATTATTCAGAAATAGTAGCTGGAGTGTGTTGGTAAACTGAGGCAGTCATAGCAAGATGAAAGGACGCAGGATATAGATTTATGTTTGGGGAAGAGCACATGCTGAGTTTACCACACTGAAATTTAAGGAAGCGAATTCTGGAAGAAAGACCTGCTCCCTGCTGCAAGGCCCACTTCCACCTGGCTTAGGGGGCAGAGCCTAGACTCACTTTGAAGAGTTAAAAGAGGCTCCTAGGTGGCCACCGGGACATTGCTGGAACAACTCTTGGGTTGGGGCAACTGGCTAAAATGTTTTAAACTGTTCTAATTTTGGTTCCTTTGTTTTATTTTTGTTGGGTTAGTGTTGGTTAAATGTTTAGTTGGGGTTGGCGGTTATTTTAATTTGGGTATAACTGCAAACTGTTTATTGTTGTTGTTGGTTTCTATTGATTTATTGGTTTCTTTGTTGCTTGTGTAGGATATTTTGTTTTTAAATGTTTGATGTTTTGTTGTGTTTTTAAATATGTTGTAAGCTGCCCAGAGTGGCTGGGGAACCCCAGCCAGATGGGCGGGATATAAATTATTATTTTATTATTAATAATAATTCAGAGGAAATTAACGACAGAAGTAGCGCAACATTTCAGAATGGTAAATTGCTATTTGGTCAGATGGTACTGCTACTAAATGCTGCACAACTTGCAATATGATCTAGTCTCCCTTTGTATCCTCCTCACTTTCTTCCCACATACCCTTGTGCATGAGAGCTGATTGCCACTGACCTCTTCCCCTTTGATTGACATTCCAGGCATACACAAATGGGCAGCTCTTTGGAGGAGAGTGTTGCAAGCATGCAACTGTACCTAAGTGGCTGGATTGGGCCCAAACAAACAGATCCTTGCCAAGAAGGAATGATAATAACAAACATGAACATGCCAAAATTGCACATGCAGAAGCAATTATGCTGAGTATGGAATATATAGGTATCCTGTAGACCACATGCCATATATTATAAGAGCTAAGCGAAACATATTTTAGGAAACTTTTCTTATTTCCAGGCCACATGCATGTGTGCTGGGAATATGAGTGTCACAACTCTAGGTAGTTGTCAAGTGCAAGTTTCCTATACATTTGTATATGCCTGTCTTGTCTTCAAATGTTAATAAGGTTCTGGGAATGCTAGGGTCTATCTTTCCTGTAACATGTGAAACAGCTCCTCTACAGAGTCAGAGAAATGGTACCTGTAGCTGACTCTTCTCAAGCCTGGAAAGCAACTCTCCAGGGAGTCAGGGAGCAGCAGCTCTGTATGAATTAAGGATTTTAATTTAGTTCTAAAGCTGATGAACAGTTGTGATGCCTTACGTTCACATGTGCTTTGGTGGCATCCCATAAACCTGGTAGATGTTTTCATATGATTGCATCTTGATGATTTACCTGAATTCATTTTCAGATCTACCATCGCTTGGACAAGAACTGCTGTGGGTTCAAACCACGCAAAGAAGATTCCTGTGTCCAGAAAGGATTGAACCTGAATTGTGATGACCAGGATAGCGTTGATTTGACACACATTATCCAGAGAAAAGATGATCCAAGGCATTTGGTCTTTATAGATAATAAAGGTTACTTTGACAGAAGTGAAGACAATCTGGATTTCAAAATATTACAAGGCATAAATGAGTAAGTTCTAGCATATACCAGCAATGTGTATAGGGTGGGGAGCTTCCTGGCCACCCAAAGGCTGAATTCAGATCTCCAGGCCTCTCTGTCTGGCCATACATTGGCATCAAGCAACACGGCTGGGGAGCTGTAAGAACACTGGGGTTAAGTTCAGTGATGTGGACTCTATGCATTATCCCTTTCCATGTGGATAATTGTGGGCTCTTGACCTTGATGTTTCTCACTACACTTTAATTAATCACTGCCCTTTCCTCTTCATGCCTACCTTCCCATATGCATAGCATATTACATGTAGATCTCACAAATATTGCTCATTGCTGTTCCTGTTCCAACTCTGCTTCTCGAATCTTCAAGCCTTTCACTGGTCTCACCACTCTTGCTACCTGCCTTTTGCTTCTCACTTGACATACTTGTTTTGGGGAGGACTGAATTCACCTTGCCTCTTTTACATTTACTACAAGTGAAATAATGATGTATAAAAATAGGAAAGGCTTAAATCATTGACAAAAAGCGTTCCTGTGAAATTTGATCAGCGCTGACTTGTTTGTTTACTTGCAGGTTCCCTGAATCGGCAGTCTCCGTGCTGAAAAGCCAGCGTTTGCGAGAGAAGATTCTACAGTCTTTGTTCCTTGACAGAATTTTTTGGGAAAGCCAAGGTGGTCGTCAAGGCATTGATAAATTAATTGATGTGATTGAACAGAGGGCCAAAATTCTTCTTACTTACATTAATGCTCATGGGGCAAAAGTACTGCCAATGAATGAATGAATGAAGGCTCAGTCCTGTGCACACTTACATGGGAATAAGAAACACTGCACACAGCAGGACTTACTTCAAAGTAAACACACATAAGATTGTGCTGAATGGGGGAATGAGAAAAAAACTAGTTCTAATGAAAGGGTCACATAGTTTCATTAAATAAGAAACTCAGACAGGCACACCTGATGTGAAACTTGTTGACAATACTTTTAATTTGTAAAGCACACATGGACAAATATTCAAACATTTTTTAAATAGGTATTCTCTAAAGGAGCCTGAGATGTAAGCATCCCAAATCACTTGCTTTATAAACCATACATATATCTATTTTTGTTTCTACTTTGGACACCAATAGTATATGGTAGAAGTTTCACCATTTATTTGATTTCAATAGATGTTGCTCACTTTAGGGGAACCCCCCCCCCTTAGACTACTTATTTCAATGGGACTATTCCAAAAAAGGTGGTTTTTAGGATCGCTGCAGACTAGCTTCAGAAAAACATTTATAGAAGGATTTTTCTGTTTCTTTCCAACAAAAATAGCAGACCCCAACTGCTGTTGATATTTCTGTATGTGTCAAGTATTGTTTAGTAAAAAGACCAAATTCAGTGTTCTTGGAATTAGGAGTATGATATTTTATATTTAGTTTTTTTAAAAGAATAAGGAAATATGTTATCCATTGAACTAAGCAGATGTTTCATAGTTATTGTAATGGTTCTAGGGGTTGCTCGTGCGTAAATCGGCGCCCCACCTGGCTGGGTTGCCTGAGTGAACCCTTTTTGTCCGGACAGCTACCCGCCCGTGGCTGTCTCAATCGCTGGCAGAATCCGTCAGTGGGCGTTTCTTGAACTTCTTCCAGCACAGAAGTTCTTTGACGCCCAGTCTCCGCCTAGTCTCCCTGCGCGGAAGCCTTCTGCGCAGGGAGGGTGTGGGCAGCGGAGGACCCGTGCTCTCCCCGCTGGTCCCCGGTGAAGAGTCATGGAGCCACCTCTCCGATTCCCCCATCTGCCCCCCTTCTCCACTGGTGCTACGCTGATTTCCTTCCCCAGAAGATGTGCTACTTCTCTCCCTCCCGGGACGCTCTCCGGAATCCCTCTGGAGCCCTCCCTCTCCCCCTGGCTCCGATGGCAGTTCCCTGACAGTTATGTTTCATACTTGCTTTTGAGGTTCTTTTTAGAACTTGTCTACAATCTCAATTATTGTTCAAAAATTCTGCAGAGAACCGTCTACCTTTGTTTAGCTGTTTAACCAATGAAATCAGGTTTTCAGTATGTAAAATACTGGCAATTGTAACTTTAGTTCTTGAGTATTCTATGATATCATAAAGCATGACTTTGAAGACATTCCTTCCAGTTAATAAATTCTTAAGAATACTGATAAAAACATAATTAAAAGGGACATGAATATCGGTATTGTCACTAGTATGGAAGCTTGGCATAAAGCATTGTGTTCTGGTTTTTCAATCTCATTGTTAGCATATAGGCTTTGAACTCATGATGGGATGGAGGCAAATGCACCTCTAGTATCCTGGAGATAGAGTCTGCCCCAAGAGTGTTTAGTATTTGTATAGCTTCATAGTGACCAGCTGCATTGTCCTGTGTCTCACCAAAGAATCCTGAAATGTATAGTTTGATGAGTGTGTTTTAGAGTATGGATTAACCAACCTAAGTCTCTGGGTCATAGGTTTCAGGTCGTACAGGATCTCATTCTCAGGTGGTTGCCCTTTATTCATTCAGTTGCAAATGACAGAAGGGCTTGGCTGAAAAGGGAGTCAACTGCCTCAATGGAAAGCATAAAACCAACCCCCCCCCCAGGCCACAACACCACTGCAATATAAGTTCTCAAAGTAGCTTCTCCCCTGTTGTTCTTTGTATAAGAGATTGCAATCACTCCTGTATCTAATTATACACACGCATGATGGCGGCATGCTGAATGTAAATGATTGAATAGCTCATATTATGATGGCCTATGTTTGTCCCTGAAAGAAAACCGCCCTTTTTTTTGTATCCATAAATCCAACCCTGTGTTTTGTGTGCCCGTTTCCCCAACTGTGGCTTGTGCCAAACAAGCACTCGCCACAGGCATTTACATGCTATTACATTTTTTTCCCCTGCTCACCTTAACTGCTGGGGCAAGGGTGACAGCTAAATTAAGCAGCAGGCTTTTATTCCAGCCTGGGAAATGGGACAAAATGAACTATGAAACAAAGCTTTCCCAGGCAAACACGGAGCAGCGTACCCTTGTTTCAGTCACTTATTTTGTAAGAATCTGTATCAGGCTACTTTCCATTTATGGGCGCATGGGATCAGACATATTTTCACATTCCAGACTAGTCTGAAGCAATGGGAGTAGCAAGGAATCCAAGCTCTTTTGTGTGGGAGAAATATTCAAGAAAAATATTGGGTGAAATGCCAACTTTTAAACAACTCTGAATATTTTCATAATTATAAAATCTAGGGATGTTTGCTGGCTGTTCTCACGCTAAGGAATCCCCTGCTTTCTCTTGCTGCAAATGATAAAACAGGTCTGTTCAGATCCCCATTGCAGTGCCCACTTATTTACAAAACTGTGTTCATTGTTATTGTTGTTGTTTATTACATTAAGGAGAAATGCTCCAATTTGGAGCTCAGCATTACACACACGAAACACCCCCCTCCCCAATATTTCCCATCCAGTTTAATAGAGACTTGTGAATAAATTCTTTTTGCACACTTGGTGCTAGGAGTCTTTGCATATACTGGAGAGATGGGTGTTCATTCCTCCATGCTCTCAAACATTCTACCCAAGGAGATAAGGCTTGATAAGAAATAGTCCCTTCTTATGTCTGAACTGGCAGACAACAGAAATTATAATCAGACTCTGAACTTTCTGGGACTTTTCTTTGTGGTCAACATGGAACCTGACCTGAATGTGCACTGTCCTTTTAAAACACATTGTATTAGACCAGCAGTATAATGAAATTTTAATGAAACTCTTGCTGGCAAACATTACTGTAAAAGATGAAATGTATTGAGAGCAGGCAACTCTATCCTTCTGCTGAAATTAGTCTAAAGATAGAAGAAAACATGTATAGAAATTAAACAATGAAAGTAAAAACCAAGCAAACATGTATTTGAAATATTAGCAAGACTCACTAGAATATTAATACAGAGTAATGTGGATTGTGTTGTTGCTAACAACTTTGCAGTTGATTCCATCTATGTTTGTCCTTTAATTTATGTATATTTTTGCAGTATTAGCATATTTCACTTGCACTGCTGATGTTAAATATATTTTTGGTTTTATAAGAGGATTTTAAAAAAATGTCCCTGCTGTTGTCTTGGTAAAAAAAATAAAAAGCTAAAAACAGTATTTCACAGCTTTATAAATATTGGCTGCTTTGAAGTAATTATATTAACTCTACTGAAAAGCACATGTCGCTAATTTATTTTTAAACTTGAATAAGCTTAGCTTAGAAAAACAACCCAAGATAGATTATGAAACCTTGTTTGATGGAAATATTTTTAGTTGTTTATTCGTTTGACTTGTAATGGTTGCCAATATCTTGCCTTTAAATATATCCTCTGGGTTTTTCTGTGCTTGCTCTTCCAAACATATTTAGGTTCAAAGCTAATCTTGTGTATTTGAGGTGGAAAGCAATGGCAATAACTTCAAACAACACAAACTGGCTGATGCTCAAAATCATGTCATACTTCTGGGAATGTACCACTTAAGAATGCAGGTGGAGAACAGGGCTTACGCGCACATGAAGGGGCATAGCTGGACACCCAAGGGGGGGAGGGAAATCCCAGAAACACCTCTTCTCCTCCCTAGCAGTAATAATACAACAATATTTTCTTCCATTTCATGACACCCAGAATCAGCTGCCCAAGATGGCTACCTTCTTCTGCCTAATGGTAGGGTCAGCTCTGGCCAGAAGGCCACATGTTTAAATGCTTTCCCAGGTAAATAAAAATAAATAAAAGTGCATTGGCTAGGCCAGAACATGTTTTCAATATGCCAGGGTTTTTTCTTCTTCTTGAAAAATATGCTAGTTTTCTGACCTGAATAAGTCTTGAAAATACACCAGGTTGGCTCTCAGACTTCACTAGGGCCTCCTTTATCCCCCCACAACTGGCCAGCCACCAGGATAAATGAAGAACAATCTTCCCCTAAAGGACAACATCTGCTATGAGCAGCTGTGTAACTGAGGAGTGTAAGCCTCTTGTGTCCACTTTCCTTGAAGAGCCAAGGACATCATATGAAACAAAGTGCTGCTAAAGGAGTGCTGTGGTCCCCTCCTCTTTCCTTACTAAATGAACCTGCACTGTTTTATGAAAACAGATCTTGACTGGATTGTAACAATACCATGTGTTTTGAATCAGAACCCCTCCCAAAGCTAGTGGCATTTCTACTGTAGTTATGGATTTACACACCAGCCATCTAGGCTTGGGATAGGGGATGGGGAGAAATTTGATTCAGTCTTCTTCTTCTTCTTCTTCTTCTTCTTCTTCTTCTTCTTCTTCTTCTTCTTTTTCTCCCCCACTCAATGTGGCTTACAGATAAAAATAACAACTAAAAACATAGAAGAAAAACAATAATTAAAGGTAAAGGTACCCCTGACCATTAGGTCCGGTCGTGGATGACTCTGGGGTTGCAGCACTCATCTTGCTCTATAGGCTGAGGGAGCTGGTGTTTGTCCGAAGACAGCTTCCAGGTTATGTGGCCAGCATGACTAAACCGCTTCTGGCGAACCAGAGCAGCGCATGGAAACGCCGTTTACCTTCCCGCTGGAGCGGTACCTATTTATCTACTTGCACTTTGATGTGCTTTCGAACTGCTAGGTTGGCAGAAGCAGGGACCGAGCAACGGGAGCTCACCCCGTCACAGGGATTCAAACTGCCAACCTTCTGATCGCCAAGTCCTAGGCTCTGTGGTTTAACCCACAGTGCCAGCCCTTTGGTGATGATTTTAGAAAAGGGTAAATTCTTGCTCTTTAGCACCAATACATTAAATGAGGATTTAATCTC